GCGAAACAAATATTCCCGTAGAATCTCAAGCATCCGAACCTGGTGAATCTTCTGGAGGTCTTCAGACGGAAGAGAAAGCTGCATCTGGTGTTTGAATACTGCGAAAACACTCTGCTGAACGAGATGGAAAAGTATCCAACCGGCTGTCCAGACCTCACCACCAGGCAACTCACCTGGCAAATTCTGCAGGGAGTAGCCTATTGCCATCGTCTGGGATGCGTTCACAGGGACGTCAAGCCGGAGAACATCCTCATCACCGGCGAAGGTGTGGTAAAGCTGTGCGACTTTGGATTCGCGCGTATGCTCAGCCCCGGTGAAAACTACACGGAATACGTCGCCACCAGATGGTACAGGGCGCCGGAATTGCTGGTAAATATATCGCAGGCCGCGATTGTAGCCGCGATTACATTCGACGACTGTCGCGAACAGGTCGGGGACACGCAGTACGGTACCCCGGTCGACGTGTGGGCGGTCGGTTGCGTGTTCGCCGAATTGATACGGGGCGAAGCCTTATGGCCGGGAAAATCCGACGTAGATCAATTGTATCTGATAAGAAGGACACTGGGCGATCTCTTACCGAGGCACATGGCCATCTTTCAGCAGAACGAATTTTTCGCCGGTATCACTCTTCCAACGCCGCAAACGCTCACACTCCTTCAAGACGCGCTACCCCATAATCCTTTGCAGGTAATCATTCCTCCCTTCTTTCTTCTACTATTGTGTTACGATCGTTACCTTTCGACAGCTGGACTTTCTGAAGAAGTGCTTGGACAAAGATCCGAACGAAAGGTGGACGTGCGAACAGTTGCTGCGACATTCTTATTTTGACAATTTTCACTTCAAAATGCCGGATGTCGAGGTGGAAGAGTTTGAAAAATTGAAAAAATATCGAGAACGGTCTCGGGTAAGTCGAACGATCGGCGCTACGATGCGAAGAGAGAAAGACTGAACGATATATTTTCAGAATACCAATTATAGTCAAATGGTGTTGCCGCAATTACCCAAGGCTGGCCCTTCTGTTCATAGCCAGGGCGAAAGTCGGCCCAAGAGCTCCTCCATACATCAACCAAATTTCGACCATCTACCGACTATAAGAGGTTAATCGATCTCTCCTCTGTACATATATTTTCTTAAGCCTTTCGAAGATATGTAGTAGGTGGAATATTTTTTAGAAAAATAAGGAGAAAAAGGAACAAAGAGAAACGGTTGTTATCCTTTGTTCCCTTGGCACGTTTCCTTTTTAAAGGTAATTTTCAGACCTTTATTTCAATTTCAAACAAGACTTACGTTTGTACTTGCACGTAGGAACAAACGCGGTATGTATATCTCTTATAATAAAGAAATTTTCTAATAAATAACATATCCCACAATTATCACGTAACATGATACATTCCACGCTCCTATGCGGTATATTTCTTAAATATCTTGATCAGTGGATGTTCGTGTCTTTCGTTTGGCGACACGTAAGTCTGTTGCAAAGAGTACCAACCTACGTGTAGACCTATTATTAACGGTATAATGACCCAGTAGGTGACGCTTCTTTGCTTCTTCCCGACAGGTGATGGCATATTGTTCGTCTTCCAACGACAGATATATATGTGCGTTTATCCTTGCGATACCTTTGATCTGTCTAAAAGAGAGATCGGATGTATGATGTGACAGAACGATTAAATTCGATGTTCTTGTAATCATCGCGCGAGTTATATAACTCTTCGACAAAGTGTAATATCGTTACTTACATAATTCGCTCATACCAATATTCTGTCTCAACAGCTTCGTCGGCTTGCTGTCGTCCTCTGTGACGTTAAGATAGAGAGTGCGGAATCTGCTTGTACGAATAGCCCATAGTTCCAAAATCTCCACTACGAGTCGCTACCGTTTCTATCGAGAAATCGAATTCAAGTAGTACGACTCAATGGCAGGTCGGACGTCCCAAAGTAATACGATCGATGAGGCGCGATGATTTATAATTTCCCGTAAATTGCAATCATGCATATTTCGACTCAATGTCAGGAAAATAACAATGTTATGTTCTCAAGTACGAATAAAAGTATTAACTGAGATTATTCCCTACATTTTCCTATTAATTTTACATGCGCTACGATGCGAAACTTTCTCTAATCCTGAGAAATGAGACAAATTACAAATAAATTGATTTATTACAAAGTTGTACATGGATATAAGAAGTGACATAATTCTTTCCTTATCGTAAAAATCCGCTGTTTCGCACCTCACCGAGATTATCGATAGCCGCGAAAAGAGAATGATCATAATAATATCCCTTATAAATAGTAAATAATTGTACACTTGATAGAATAATATCCCTAGCAGAGCGATTATACACAGTGGGATTCGGAATAGATATTTCTGTTTTATCTCTACACATATACATATATATACAAATGTGTGTGTGTGTGTATATATATATATATATATATATCTCCGATATAATAATCGACACAATAATATATTAATTACGGCAGTCGTCATCGTTACTATTCTGCAATGTATTCGTCTTATATAAATAATTCCGCACACACGCACGTATAAAATAACGCATATAATTGTTTATCTATACATGTATGTTTGTGTGTGTGTGTGTGTGTGTGTGTCGCACGTGCGCGTTGGGTTTATACAATCTACCCAACGTGCACGCACATACACAGAGCGTCGTAAATAAAAAGCTAAATGTATCGATCAGTCTCTAAATCGTTTTAATATTCATGCGGAAAGTTCGATCTTTGCCGATGTTTCTTACAAAAGCTTTCGGATTTGGAAAATTATAAGCATAATAAAATTAAAAATTAACGAAATATCTGAATCTTTTCAATACATACGTTTTCAATACATACAAATGATTTTTCATGTTAGTAAATAATATACTTGGAATTCTCTAAATTCCGCGTTTACTGAAAATCCAAGATATATTTACATAAATTACAAAGTGATAAAATATCTATCAGAATTTCAAAATTTTCATGTAAATTCTGTAGAATAATTTATACGTTTTCTCCATTTAAGTTCATATCTTTAAGTCGTGTCATGAATGAATGCACGCGCATTTTAACAACATTCTTTCAAGAGCGTTATCTTACATTAGTATTATGGTGAAAAAATATAGATTAAAAAATACGCTAATTAAAAGATCAATAATCCGCGCACGACCCGAATTAGCTTGCGAGAAAGTTCCATACCATTTTACGATTTTACGATTCCTCCCCCCCCCCCCAATTTTTTCGATCGTTTAACTCGAACAGTATTAATGCATAGAAATTTTCGCAAAAAAAAAAAAAAAAGAATCAATTTAATCAAAGAATTTGCCTTTGAGAAACATGCGAACATGAATAAGGACACTCTGTGTATAGCGCGTACTCTCAACAAGTTAGAAGAGCAATCTATATAAAAGTGAGAAAAAATCTACGTGTACTATCGCACCGAGACTCTCTCAACACGCTGATAAAACGATAAGAAGTTTTCTCGAGCCAATTCACGAAGGATATATCAGTGACCACTACGAAGTCGACAATTACTAACGAGATGCTGATGGACATTTGTGGGATTGACGATACGGTCATTTCGCTACGTAAACGTAAAATCAATTTTTATAATAATTTTCGTAAAAAATAAAGAAGAAGAGAGATAAAGTGAAAATATATAAATTGCTACACAAATACTTTAATTTTTTATCCATTATTTACCTTTAAATCTTTTTTCTAATGTCTAATTTCGATGCACAAACATATATAAATATATATATAATTTTGTTCTCATGATTTTACTTTTACCCAGGTTTGGTTGCTCAAAAACCATTTTTTCCAAAACAAAAAGGTTGCTTGTCCATCGCAACTTGTTTTCGCGGATATATTTACATCGTTATATATCCTCTGATCGATAAAATGTCCACTTACAAATCTAATGGTTTCCCATTAAAATTTGAATATCTCCATTATCATATACAGACACACAATTTACCACATGATATCTCCTCTAAATAATTTTTCGTAAATCATACAAAAAACATGTTTGTTTAAATTAATCGCGTGAACAGAAATGATATATAAATAAATTTCTTGATATCACTGTATTGCCAGCCTTAGTTGTCACTTATTTATCACTTGTTACCACTGCTGACAACCGCGATATTTCCTCTTTTTCTGACTATGTTAAAAAAGAAAGACGAAAAAAAGATCACGAAAACGAAGATCACTGATCCGTGTACGCATATACAGAGTGTCTCACAGAGATCAAACATGAAGACAAGATCATCTGTTTCAGCGCTATTCACTCGCCAATATCCTGTACTTGATACATTAATAACTATTGTGTGTGCACGCATCTGTAAAATGGTATAGAACTTCTCTGTTCAACTTGATGCGTTTTACACGAGCATTGATACGGTAATTGTCAGACACTCTGTACAGTGATATGTGTACACACACACAGAGAAAATATTGCAAGAACAACTTACAAAACAAATAAATTAAGAAAGAGAAACATTTCAAAAGAGACGAAACTTTCTCTCTCATTTTTGTTAATCCAGGCGGGTTCGTAGCGCTCATTTCAAGATATTCTTCGTTTTCTCTCTCATTGCCTTACAATATGTTATACACATAAAAATACATTATTAAAAATCTAAACCTCGTAACAATCTCCATTTATCAGAAATGGATATTTAAAAAATTTTTCTTTCTTCTCAAATTTTTCATCAGTCTCTAACCGTATAATTGAAAATTGTTCATAAAAGACAAAAAGATTTGCTTATAAATTTTCTCAGAGAGATGCTTATTTAAAATTTTTTCTTCTAGACATATTTACTTTAAAAACATTTACATTAGTCTTTTAATTTTCAATTGTTTATATCCACATTACTTTGTGCAACTTTATACAGGGGTAAACGTTCGTAAAACGGATTAAGTTTAACAGAAAAGTCACAAGTCCTATTTTGCAAAATTTGCAATAGTTAACGAAGAATGAATTAATCAATTTGAACGAATGAGCGAAGCGGTAGGCCGGACTACATGAGCATGTATAAAGAAAGATGACTTCCAGGTGAGATTTTCAAGGTGAGATTTTCAATGAGAAAAATTATTTCAACTTCTTAAGATCTCCTAGCAACGGTAAACATCTACCGCTGCTCGTTGCTCCGCCCGCGGAGCTTCCGGGATACCACATGCGCCTAACATACCCGAAACACTACTTTCGATATGCGCATATGTGACGTGCATGCAACTCGTTCGCAACTTTCGCGGGAGATCCTAAGAAATAAACCATTTTTCTTATAAAACCGAAAACCATTTTTCTTTGTGCATACCTACTACGAAGTTCAGTCTACCGTTTTCCGTGCGCTCATTCGTGTCGATTGATCAATCAATTCCTCATTAACTACTGCAAGCTTTACAAAATGGTACACGACTGTTCCCCTTTTTCCCTGTACACGAGCGCTTGGTCAGTAAATTTCGGTTATATATCCTGTATAAACGCGCGCACGAACGCACCAAGTATATATATATATATATATATATATATAAAATAAAATTAGTCTTAAGGTTTTCTCCTTTAAAAATGGAGACCAATCCACGTTTCTACGAATGATTCTTTTCGTATTTAATTAATACTCATTGAAATAAATTATATAAATTAAAAATAGTTTTGATCAAATGCACAAAAGAAGAGAAGAAAAAGAAAAATTACACTAAATGGAAGCGCCACGATCCAACCTCGATCGTCGTATTTTATCTATGATAAATCATAATAATAATAATGATAGTAATAATAAAAATAGCAGTGATGATAANTCATAGATCCTAGTTCAAAGAAGAAACGTACAAATATATGATCCATCATGGGAGGAGGCGATCGTTCGATCGACCGCTTCCCGCGACGCATCGCCCGGCGATTTCGATGTTCATTTGATTGTTGATGAAAAAAAAACTGTTATCCCTTTCTCATTTCATTTACGTTAATCGTAAGAGATTGTCGGTGAACTTTCGAGTCGTCTCGATGGGCAATTTTTATCATTTTTACATCATTTACATACACGAGTGTTATATTTCTCTGATATATTCGCTTAGGAATAACTTAAGAGATTAATGACTCGTAGCTCAGCTTAGCTGGACGGGATCGACGATGTGTTTATTGCACATTTTTCTCACTTTCGCATTTGATCTCGGATCCAGTGTTTAAGCCGAGAGTCATTAGTTTTGCATTTTTTCTCTCTTTCTTTCCAAAGTAAAGCAATTCCAGAGATCTGTGCTTTTCTACATCCAGGGCGATCTTTGAACTCTAAATCTTTCTCTCCAATCTCTGCAACCTTTCACATTGGTTTTACATTGGCGAAAACATTATTTTCTCATTTTCTTTTGAGAGGATAAATTATACTCGATTCTGTAAATGCTCCATCATCACGAACCCTGGCACAGAGAGTTTAAGACGTGTATCACTAAACGAGTTCCATTTTTTTTTTCGTTTGTGCGTGGAAAAAAGTCCGAAGAAAGAATTTTTGATGAAAAAAAAGGCAACTCGACGAGATCACAGTTGCGGTTTTCTTCCTTTTTGTTCTCAGCAGGTACTCGCTTGTACGTCCCATTTTCTTTTTTAGCCCGTCTTTCTTCCCGCGTTTAGCAATATATGCGACAAAAACAGTCGGAAATGCTCGATCTCACTTGTCTCGACTGGAAATCGAAACTGAATTTCAATTACCAATCGATACAAGCGTCGAAAGATCACCTCCGACCGTCTCGCTTGGTCGACCCAACGAGAACGTGTCACGTACTCTGTGACATCCCACGCAAGTGAGATGAAAACTGAATCAACTCTACGCTAAACGCGCAATCGATGCGTGCTCATCTTTCCTTTGTCAACTAGGAACTAACAGTTTTTACTTAATTACTCTTTTCTCTCTTCCAAATTACCTCTATCATCTAGGATTATACATCTATTAAAACTCGCTGGTCCAGTTTGCCAATCTGATTGCCACGTTCGCATTTTGTGTGTGTGTGTGTGTGTGTAGGCGCGCGCGCGCGCGAATTTCTCTATCTAGATAAATTCGTCCATTTCTCCTAATACTGTCTAAATAAGAACTGACTTTAACCGTTTTCACATTCATTTATTGCTATATCGACGACCTGTCACTGATTATCAACGATCGCTTTTGATTAAACCAGAGCTCGGTATCAGACATGTGGCCAGATTTGAAACTATCTCCTCCTTGCGACATAGCAACCGAGCGTGTAACTACGATGTTCTGCGGATGTCAGGAGCAGCCGAACTATGAATACGGCGAAGTCGGATTCTCTGTCATATGAAAGATATAATAATGTATTTTCACCATGATTATATATGTACAAATGTACTTACGAGCAATCGTATTATTCCGCATATATATATACATATATATATATATATATATATATATATATATCTTTGATATAGCGGAAAATTCATTCACGATAGGGCCGCCGCTCTCTCCACTCCTTCTCTGACGCCGCGTGTCACACAGCGTCAGGAAGGAGATGTCAACACGGAAATCTGGCCGAAAATTGCACCTGATACCGAGTGATCTGGATTATACGATCTCTTCGGACCGTGTGTGACAAGTCTTATTAATTTGTTGGTTTGAAAATTTCAACATCAGAAATTTTGAGAATTTTTGCTGCTGAAGATAATTTAATTTTAAAGATTGTACGTTCTGAAATTCTTGATTGATCGCTGAAATAATAATTTTCGGAATTTTTGGAATTTGAATTACCAAAAATTAAATTAATATGAATTGAAATGTGTTCGATCAGATTTCTAAATTCTCAAAAATTGAAATTTTTACAAATTGTGATGGTTTAGATTTCACTTTTAGAAATTTTGAAAACTTTTATGAAAAATCATACAAAGATTTCATCTGTTTATTTTACAATTAAAAATATTAATTTCAGCAAACTTGTTGAGAAAAACATTTCAATTTCTAGTATTCATTCTCTTAAAATTCCTCAAGTCGAAATCTTTCCCCTCTCGTCTTTGGACCCTGGCGAGAATCGATTGGCAAATATTCAAAATGCATCCCTATGGCTCAAAAAGAGCCATATGTACGCACGTTTATGTGTTTTTGTGTGTATGTGTTAAAGAATAAATTAGCACTCTACGAACAGTCGGCATTAATTGGACGACATCGGCTGGATCTGAGGCGGTGGATTAATCACGACGTCGGCGTCGACTGTCAAAGATTTACAGGACATTTGGTCCATCCGTTGAAGCAACTTGATATCAGGACCGTGTTTGCCAGTCTTGTTGCCGCTGTCCACGCCCTGATTGGAGCATTCATCGTAGCCGGAATCGGACGATGAATCGCTGAAGGTCGTTTTAGGGTTTTGTTTGGAGGAAACGACGCTCGCCTCCGGCGGCAATTCGACACTATGCGCCGGACTAACGGACGCAGAGTGAGTGGGGCTAGTAGCCTCGGATGCAGACGACGAGCCGTCACGCTGTCTCCTACCAGCCAGACAGCCTACGCAGGGTTTCAGTAGAGAAGGATCCACAATCACCTCGCCGTAATGACCCTTGAAGATTACACCGCAGCAGATGACCTCTCTGCATAAAAAACAGAAAATCTTGAGATGTGCGCGCGTGTGCGGTAAGAACTCTGTTATAAAATTATACTAACAAGGAGAGGGCACACCAATTTTGTTCTCCTTGCACGTGGTGAATCAAATCAACCGAGCGCAATCAGTAGTCAAGACAGAAAGCAGAGCAGTCGGTAGACAGACAGGACTGGTATATAATAAACATTTTTCATTGTAAATTATAAATGAAAGAAATAAAAAGGATTGCCTCGATCTTGCGGCGTTTTTCCTACCGTTACCTAACAGCTTCGAATATAGTGTATATGAAATCAACGGTGTTGGCTTCGGTCGGAAATTTCAGACATCATTGACAAAATTACTATTTAAAAGACGCTATTTATTTTTTGTGCAGATTCGCCACGTGCAAGGAGATCAAACTGTGTCGCTCACTGTGTCCTCTCCTCGTAAGTGTTCTTTTGAATGAAGCGCTGTCCCCTCTATACTTCAGTTTCCTATGCCTTACAATTTCATGGAAAAGATTGCACAAACGTGAAGAATCTCGAGGGACTTTTTGGAAAGAGAGAAAGAGAGATATAAATTCTAAGAACTTCTCGATTGTAAAAAAAGAAGCTTTTTATCCATGGTTGTTACCTTTTGAAGTACGACAAATCGATGAAATCATTAACATGTTCCACTTCCATATGCTCAACAGGTGGCACCACATCCAATTGCTTCTCCGCGATGCCGTCGCTATCTGTAGGGCTTTCCGACCTGCTCGAATCTTTGCTGCCTACTTCCGCAACGTTGTAATATTCTGCAAAAGACCGACAATGTTAACCTTAGATAAACAAATTTCTTCGCGACACTCGCATTAAATCATTCTCGGCTCGTTTAATCTACGAACTTAAAAATAAGCATCATACATTTATTATTTAGCAATTTACCACCTGTATAGAGGTTACGTTTAAATCGGTTACACTAACCAATCAAGTCGTCGCTCATGGCAGGACTATGTTCACGATCAGCCTCCGTTTTTAAGTAAACATGTTTCTTTTTTACAATCTTCTCGGTCTTCTCCGGTTTGTCTTTCACTTTCTTCTTGTTCCTCGACTTGTACTTCGTTAGAGACTTGATGCCAGGGCCAGCGCGCGCGTCCACTACCTGTAGATAATTATATCGATGATTAAAGCAAGAGAAAGAAAAGGCAATTCCTAATGTCAAGATTATAGTGTATATGAATATTATACAATTGGTCAGACAACAAATATTTATAAATTACGTTATAACTATAACTACAAATATATAACTACAAATATAACTACAAATTTAGTTGTAGACTGTACAATTAAATGCCGAATGCATCCGTACAATTTGTCATTGAGAAATGCATTTTTGCATATGCATTATTTCTCAATTAACAAACTCCGTGGTTAATCTCAAATTTTTTGACTTTTTATTAGCGGTTTATCAATAGTATGTCAAAAGAAAAGAGCTTTTTTTACGTTATAAGCAAATATCGGGGGTATACAACCATAGAGATATGACAAATTTCAAATTAGCAGTGAATGTTGTATCCCTGAGAGATAATATTCGTTGCAAAATATACTGACGTGTCTCCAGTTGCGATTGCTCCCAGCTGGCAACTTCTTCCATCTCTTAACCAAAAGAACGCATGCATTGCATATCTCGCCAGTACGCCTCTCTTGCAGTTGAAAACATTCCACAAAGTCATCCTCGTACTTTTTACTATCTGTAAACCTCGAGCTGCAAACGTGAAAAAACGTAGACAAAACTATTATGCATATAACACAAATTATGATAACAAATTAAAGATAATGAGTAAAACTGAAAGATTCATTTAGAAAATAAGCATTTTTGAATGTTTTTTTTTTTTCATTTATTAGAACTTTACAGGTTGAATCAATAATATTGTTGGCCAATTAATGGATCAAACCCTTATTGCTAAGGTCACTTATTAGTTGCACAATTATGCACAGTTAAATCCATCTTAATGAAAAGAGACTTATTAATAATAAGACAAGTCTCTAATATAAATTCGATTATTTACCTGCTGGATTTGGCTTTGCAGATGCAGCAGCCAGTGCTGGAGCGATAGACCTTTGGCTTATGAAAATTGAACATCTTGGCTGTCGCTTCTAAGTCACTATCCCTTCTATAATTAAAAAAGTAGAAATACGATTATACAGAGGTGCATATTATTTGCAAATGTATCTTAATGATATGAGCCTCGGCAAAACGTGAAATTGAACACGTGCCTGAAGTTCGGTGGTGAAACAAAGACAAAGTGGTAGCCGACGAAGTTGTGTGCGGAGAACTCATTCGAGGTAGCGATGATACCATGAAACGCGTGTCGAAGTTACCTCGGTAACAATCACTGATTTCATTGCAGAACACGTGCACAACCAACTTCATTTCGTCGCGGGATCGCGAGAGAGAAAAAGAGAGAAAAAGAAGGAGAGAGAAATTCGTCCTGTATCGCCGATCTCGAGTCTGTAATAGAAACGTTTTAACGACTCTTCTCTCAAAATTGATATTCTTGCACTCTGTGTTTTTCAAATATCTTTTTCTCCGAAGTATTGACGATATCACGTTGCCGAATGGCAGCGACGCCGACTCGGCCACTTGTTTGCGGGATACAACACTCTTTCGTTTCCCGAGAATCTATCTTACTTTCCCGGCAATTTTCCCCGCAATCGAGATGACCTCTCTGCGAAAAGATTGATCGTGTAAGCGCGCGGAACACAAACGGCAATTGTTATTGTTAGAAAACACTCGGACGAAAGGACGCGCAGCGACGTTGCGAGTCCACTCGGCAATGTGTTGGACGAGCCCCCCTTTTTTCGCGCATGCGCATTTGACCCAGTACTGGTTCGACTATTTAAAGGTCCTCCGTGGCCCCTATTTGGATGCTCCTAAAAAGTTTAAACATTTTTTTGAAAAAAGCAAAAAATACAATGTTTCATTCCCTGTAGAGAGGAGTTTGGTGGAGTGAATGTATTTGACTAAATTCCACATTTAATGCTGATGTAACACGCAGTACAAAAACCTTGTGAAATATTGTCTGTTAACAACCTTCGGCACGTTTGGAAGGATCGCATGCAATCTGGTAATATACTAGGAATACTGCGTTTCTGTGCGACGCATTTCTAATAATTCACCATCTCGATGCAGCAGGAAACACGCTTTATTGTGAACATATGTCTTTTTCGCCAAATTAGCGCGTAAAAAGAGACAAATATATAGTTAAGACCCGGTGGAAAAAAGACACAGACTTAGCGCAGCCAGTTGAAATGAAAGAAACAGACCTCATGTCAAACCTCTCTTCCATTGATAAAAATACCTCTACAAGTGTATAGTGTTAAATACTATCCAATTGGCTTTCACTTTTATCGATAAGAGTGATCATTATCTGCGAGGCTTCAGCACGGAGTCACCACGTAAATGCATCGTTTGCGTACGTCCCTGTGATGTTGCGGCGCGCATGCGTGAAAGGGAGGCTTTCATCCACGCCGAGGGGCATTTATCGGACGGTGGTGCACGCATGTCATGCAAACTTCCCACAGGCCGGCCGTGACTTTTTCGTATGTTATCACGTATGTTGTAGCGATTTGACGCGCATGAATCTCGGAAGAGAAAAGAAAGCCTCCTTCTTGAAGGAGGAATCGAGAGGAATTGGGATTAAAAATGTTTTGGACCTGTTCTCTTCCATCAATCAAGCAATTAACGCAGGAAGGAGGAATGAAAACCGTGCCCTGAGGGAGGTGGACATCCGCAAAGAAAGTGTTGGCGAAACGAGTGCACCTCGTCGTCGAAGGAGAACGAGTTTGTTCTCTCTCGCTCCGCTATAAATCAAATTCCCCTCCTCCGTGTCCCTTATGGGCCGCCACTTTGGTCGTGACGTCGCTGACCCGCTTTTGAGAAATTCGGTAAACAAGGCACCGGACCAGTCGAGAGAAGGAGGTCCTTCACAACGGCGTAATATTAAAGGATAATTTTTTAATATCTCGATATCTCTTTATAATTTTCGCGAACAGCGACGATATTAATGATAAGAGGGATAAGAGAGAAGATGAAATTGTCACGCTTTTCCAACAATCACTTTTGTACAGATTATCGCGCCATAAAAGAATGTAACTTTCCTTATTTTTCCATCACGTCGGTATTTGGGAAATCGGTTGGCTGTTTATAACGATTTCAAGTAGCAATGTAAGAGAAGACCGACCTGGTGCGAAAATCACGTGAAAAGTAATCTTTATACATACAAACACCCGTGACAAATAATAGTATATCCGATTTGGCGAATTTTCCTGACCAAGGTTTTCGTCTCGCAGAAGCCGACTCGACGAAATGATTTCGTCCGAAATAAATGTGCGAAAAAAGCGACGTTATTTCGAGAAGACACGCGTAGCATAATAATAATCCGCGCGTTGCACTCACGTTGGTGTGTGTTTTTCCCCCCCATCGGGCTATTTTTAGCTACCGTGTGTTTTGTCGGCACGCAACGCTGTTTCCTACGCCCAAAGAAAGAAATAATATCAAAGAATCGCGCGTCTTTCATACGTTGCGTATGACGCGTATATATATACAAAGAAAGGATTCAGACAACTTGGTGTGTACGAAAAAGAATGAAAAGATATCTCAAAAGTGCTGAAACCAGAGTATACCAGTCAATACATTAAAGGGCCTCGCAGCAATATTCAACCGATTGATAAAGATTTACAATTATTTAATAGGAAATATAATTTGTCATACAGTTTGTGAGGGGAAAGACGATAAAATGAACAATATATGTGTGTGTGTGTGAAGAAGAGCATCGGTAAAAGGTTAAGGCGCTTTCCCCTCGTGCTGGGGAGCGCGCGAGAACGTGCACGAGCGCAACCGCGACATGGCGATGGGACTCGACTGCGACGTCACGCCGCGTAGAGGTTAGAACACACGAGATCAAAATGTCTGCTTCGACTACACTTTCTGTACTCGATCGCCACCTTCCTCCCTCTCTTCCACCCAGTCTTCAGAAATAAAACGATATATATACATACATACATATATATATATATATATATATATATATATATAATGATACAACACAGAGCTAAAAAGAAGAGATGCAACACCGCTATGACTGCGGCGACATTACGCGCCATGACAGGTGATATCTAACCGATGCTCGCGTGACGTGACACAACAACACGACGCCGACGACGCATAAACAACGAGATACACGCGCAGCACGTTTGAGTGATGTCAAAACGTAGCATGCGCCTTCTGTTAGAGCAAACGGAGGCGGGAAACCGGGCGCGGCGGTTGTGATCGGCAGAGAGCGCGTCAAGTTTGCGCGCGAGGCCGAGAGAGAGACGCGCACGATGTCGCCCGTGGCGAAACATATTTGGTGGCGCGCGACAGACGGCGCGCGTTTAACGCGTCGGCGGCCGTTTCGCGTCGGCCGCGATTACGCGCTTTTTCTCACTATCAACGACGCTTTGCAGTAACGGCTGTTGCTTACCTCGTTTGTCGGCACAGGTAACTGCAGGTGACGGCCGGATGATTTTGGAAGCGCACGCACATACGTACGTCAGTGTTACCAGACGCGCGTCGTACGCGGTGTCTGGCTTGACAGTGGTAGTACTACCAACCTAACCCCTGCTCAACTTTATCCCAACCTAATCTAACCTAGCCTGATCTAATCCAAATCTAGCGATGCGTTGCACTCTCTTTTATCGATAAAAAATGCCACCCTGGCTTAGGAACCACTTGATTGGCCATATTTCAGGCGATAAAAGAGAATATTCGGCCCTTCCATCTCTTTCCCACCCACGACTTCCGGTTAACTTGATCCGCCGATCATCATTCCACTGGAATTGACCAATCGCATTGGTCGTTAACTGAATGTAGCGGGATTCTCCCAACCGACTACTGTCGACTAGGGAATACATTGCGCAGGTATAATATATGGCAACAAAACGACCGACTGAGTTGTCGGTAGACAGAATCACGCTTACCGATCGGTTAAGTTAATCGTTTCTACCATCATGATTTAAAATCTAATCGACGATTAACCAATTGCATAGCCGGTTAATTCTTGCATCAAAGACCGTCTCAAGTTTATCTTTAGATGCTGTACCGTTCATTTCATTGGCTACGAAACATCCAAAGATGAACTCAAGACGACATAAGGTCTGACTTATTAACTGATCAATGTGATTGGTTAATTCCGTTGAGTTAATCGTCGATTTAAACCATTAATGTCAATCTACAATAAGTATTTTAAAGAAATTGACCAATCGAATGGGAAGTGAATAATTAATTGTGATTGGTCAATTTCTTAATATATCTATTGGCAACGGATAGAATCGGGCATAAAAGCGGAGACGTTTTTTTATATTCTCTTGTATATTCACCAGAGACATCGTTGAAATTTCGCATAGGTATATAATTCGATAAATTAATAATTTTCATTGAGTGTTCATCCTTGAAAATTCGATCGTTAATTTTTGTACTTATTAAGTCGTGACTTTCAGGTTAGAAACTGCCCCACGTTGCCGGTTAATAAAAATCTATTAAATAAAAGCTATCGTAAATACTAATAAATATTGTATAAAACACATTTTCATTATGTACAGGGAAATATAAATTTCAGGGATATTTATTATATATACGTATCATTTATCACATATATTTATTTATACAAGTATAATAGCTTCCACAAATGTGGGATATTTTAATTTGCTCCGTTCAATCCACAGATATGGAGAAAGTCAAATATGTGAAGAACTATACTGAAAAAGAAGCGGAAGAATATCTAAAGGTAAGGAAAATTAGTATTTTATAAGTTTATCATAAATGCCGAGATGTGTAGAATTTATTCTCTAAATTCTTTTTTGCTATGATTTTCTTCTTGGTTTATTGTCTGTCAGTAGTATAAAAAAAAAATTATTCAAAAGTTTAACTTGTTTTTGTCTTATTTGCTAGTTTCTATGGAAGATTAATTTCTCTTTGAAAGTTACATTAAAATATTATATGTGTGAATACATTTATCAACATCTTTTCGATGGAGTTATACTTTCACAATCATTTTGTCCTTTATAGTATGTAAACAGCAGAAAGTTAATATCAAATTTGTCCATATCTCGTGAATAAATTGTATTCTTGCCAACTTATAGTTTATGGATAGTACAAGTGAGAACAGTAAAGCAAAACATGAATGCAAAGCAGTAACCCAGGAGCAAAAGGAGCTTTATAATCAAAATTTGGCCAAGTCCTATCGAAAGTGTGATTTTACTTACGAGCCAAAATCCAATTTATCCATTTTGTCAATGAAAAATACAATATTGTCGATGATTGAGGCGAATTCTGTGACTGTAATTCAAGGACCAACTGGCTGCGGAAAAACTACTCAGATTCCTCAGCTTCTTCTGGATGCCAATATTAAAAAGAGACTTCACTGCAACATTATAGGTTCTTCTTTTAAAGCAACTTACATTTTGCACAAATAGAATTGTCAATTTTTCTTGTTTATTTACGATGAATTGGCCATTTTATGCATATTAATTGCATGTTTGTTCTTCTTCAGTGACACAACCCCGACGAATCGCTGCGATAAGCATCGCAAAACGGGTAAGCCAAGAAGGCAGGTGGCCGCTCGGCAGTGTCGTAGGCTACCGAGTTGGTATGAAGCAGGAGACCTCCTCTGATACCCGTCTGACTTACTGCACCACCGAAATCTTACTGCAGCAATTAATAAAAAAGAAACACATGCTCGATTATACACACGTGATATTGGACGAGATTCACGAGCGCGATCAAGAAATGGATTTTCTCCTGTTGATCGTGAAAAAATTGCTGCAAACAAATTCCAGCTTGGTGAAGGTGATCCTCATGTCAGCGACAATCGACGTGAAAAAGTTTGCCGAATATTTTTCGACGCGAGTGGGAAACAAGTTGGTGCCGGCGCCTGTTATAGAAATTCTCGAGAAGGGATGTTTCGAAACTCATACGTATTATTTGGACGAATTAAAGGATCTAGGCGCAGTGAGTAAGAATTAACGTTAACGCGCGAGTAATTCCTTCTCAATCAGCGCGTGTATTATGATGCGCATTTGTAATAATGAAAGAATCCTTAACGCAAGCAAGTTATCTAAATGTTGTTTTCAAATAGATACCGGAAGTGCTTCCGGCCGAGCCGAAAGTCACTAAATCCATGATCAAGTTTTGCGCGAAAATGATTATCGCCTTCGATCAAATCGATCAGATCAATCACGACGGAAAAGGAAAAGGAGGGGAAGCCAGACACACGGTTCTCGTTTTCTTACCAGGAATCTACGAGATCGAAGAGCTATACGCATTTCTATCGTCCAAGTGTCACGAGGATAGATCGTGGGACTTGGTGATGTTGCACTCAATGATCTCCAGTGACGAGCAACAACGTGTCTTTTACAAAGCCCCGGCGCGTCATCGTCGGATCATACTGTCGACGAATATCGCTGAAAGCAGTATCACGGTGCCGGACGTCAAGTACGGTAGGTTCTCCTTCGCGTGGAGACAGCGAGCAGTGAATTAAGAGATTCTCAATTCGCAGTGATCGACTTTTGCCTCGTCAAAGTGATCGCCGTTGATCCCATCTCCAATTATCAGTCCTTGCGACTCGATTGGGCAAGCAAGGCGAGTTGCGTGCAACGGGGGGGTCGTGCCGGCCGCGTGATGGACGGTAGGGTGTACAGATTGGTGCCGAGAACGTTTTATCGCGTGAGTAATTCCCTTCCATCTTCTTCCGTAAGAAGAGTCCAGCGAAAATTTAAATTCGCAGATCGTACTGGACGACGAAGGCACGCCGGCGATGTTGCGCGCCCCACTGGCCAATGTTGTCCTGCGCGCCAAGATCTTCGACGACGGAGATCCTCGCTCCCTCCTCGCCCTCTCGTTGGACCCGCCTGGCCTTCAGAACCTGCGCGGCACGATTCTACAGCTGAAAGAGAGCGGCGCTATGATGAACGACCACCAACCGTTCGACGGTCAGCTGACCGACATGGGGAGGATAATGGCGCTCCTGCCGCTCGACATACAGATCACGAAATTAATTATGCTCGGCCACATATTCGGAATTTTACGAGACGGCGTCGTGCTGGGCGCCAGCATGGCACTCAAGGACACGTTCGTCCAAGGTGAGTGTCGCGGCAGCAGCGTCTCGCATTACTCGACGAAGAAGAGATGGGCTCGCGAGAGCGACAGCGATTGCATCGCTTCGCTAAACGTGTACAAAATGTGGCAGAATGAAAAGGCGAATCGCCGATTCACTTCGTACGACACGGAGAAGCAGTGGGCTCGGAGGAACGGGGTCCAACTGCGGACCCTGCGCGAGCTGGACGTTCTCGTCAATGAGATCACGCGCAGACTGACGAGGTTGGGCGTGAAAGAGACGGTCGGCGTGCGTAAGGTGAGAATGATCTGTCTCGCGAGAAAGATCCTCTCTCTATTCTGTTGGCTTTTCTTCCTGTTAAGGTGATCTGGGAGGGCCGTGAACGTGATTTCATCCTGCAAGTGATTCTAGCTGGCGCCTTCTATCCCAACTACTTTGTCAAACGGTCGCTCAACGTCGAAACCCGGGAGGATAACGTCGGTAGAAATCTAAACGCCTTGGATCCACTCAAGACCGTTTGTATGCGAGGCTGGCCGATGAAGCAACCGGGCTATTTGTACGCGAAAAGATTGCAGGAGATTTTCTCCCAGCACCACGGTGTCCCGGCAGAGCGGATCACGATCTCGTTTGACGGCTCTTCGCGAGTTTACGTACAGTATCGCGAGAAATGGACGACCGATGAGAGTCTTTGCAGAATATCGGATTTTGTTTACACGTCTGTTAAAATGCGACATTGCGAGATACCGATTAAGATCGGGCTGTTGAACGCAACGGAGGCAGAAAAGAGGAGCAAGGATCAGGGCTTGGACAGATTTCAGAGGACTGTTTTCTTCAATAAGGAGAGGCAAATCAGGCGGTCCGATTGTATCAGGCCGAAACTGCCCGGTCTCGACGTTACTTTCGTACCTTTGTCTATGCAAAATGTAAGCTCTCGAACAATTTTTTTTTTTCACAAAATTAGATTCATACAATTTTACAGATCATTAGTCCGGGGTACTTTTGGGCCACCCTGGATGACGAAGACACTCGCAAGAGTATGCGCTGGATCGAGTCCGCTCTGAACACGCGTCCCCTGCGAGAATTCCGCTTTCCGCCGACGGGCAGAAAGACTGTCGTCGCCGCTCCGATGGAAAGAAACGATTCCCCGGCAACGTATCACCGCGCAACGGTCGAGAAGTACAGCGCGGAAATCGCGGACGTCTTCTTAATCGATCATGGTCGCATCTCTCGAGTACGAACCGGCGATTTACGAGTGATCGATGACGTCGAGATTACAAAGCTGCCTTCTCTGGCGTTTCGATGCGCCCTGGCCTCCGTTCGTCCTTCCCCGAACGGCAATTCCCAAGGGCAATGGTCGAGGGTCTCGCGGGATTGCTTCGAGTCTCAAATTCACCGAAGCAAGGAGATCTTTGGGCAAATCTATTCGGTTGCGGATAGCATCGTTAATCTGGAATTGATCGTTATCGACAAGAAGGGCGAGAAATTAAATATGAATGCGTATTTAATCGAGGAGGGGCACGCTACAAGCAGGAAGGAAAGCTTCTTGTCCAAGTATAATCACGATCTGCGGACGGAGCTCGATATCGTAGGCGCAATGTTGCCAGAGGAGAGGTCGTTTTACGAGGAACGGCAATACGACGAGGACAATTTGTCTGAGGTGAGTTGTTTGTTTCTTCCTTCCAGCTCTCTCTCTCTCTCTCTCTCTCTCTCTCTCTCTCTCTCTCTCTCTATCGGCTTTCCCTGTCGGCAGTATCCCTGTTCACCGAAAGAGGAAGATTGCGATTCGTGGGTACAGCTTCATGGTCCTTACTCGCCCCTCGAAATCGACATGGCCCAGCTCACAGCAGCCGGCAGATACAAGAGGGTATACGTCGATAATACGTCCGTCAACTCCGTTCTCCTCGACGAGAATCCCGACCGATCGACGCGTCTGCTCGTCGCGCAGAGCATCAATCGGCTGAGCGAGAGCGATTACTTGTCCCTGCGGAACACCACTTTATTGCCGAACATGCCGGGGCTCGCGGCGCTGCTCGTGCTGATTTTCGCACCGCGCGTCGAGCTGAGGTGCAGCCCCTTGGCCACTCGTTACACCGAGGCACTCTGCGGCTTGGGCCCGATCGACAGTTGCACCGGCAGAGGTGTGTTTCCAGATCACGATATGAAGATTTCGTTCGACGTGGAAATCTCGAGCGACGATCTACGGGAGGTACAAGATCGATTCTTCTTCCTAGCTTCCTGTCGATCATTCAATAATCGAGCTCTTCCGCAGATTAATAAATTGCGTCATTGGATGAATGTCGGCATGCAGTTACCACGTAATAGTTACGATTCCGACGACGACGATGACGATGGTAGCGAGCAAATGATGAATTGCCAGAATCATGTGAAGCGCGCTTTGCTGGAACTGCGAGATCGACGCAGACGGCCGCAGGATCCTCTCGAGGTCGTCGACTCCGACCAGTGGAATCGTTACGACGAGTCCTTCTTTCTGCACGCTGCTCGCGAAGAGGGCGAGATGTATCCCCTGCATAAAGCGTTGAAACTGCGAGAGAAGGACGATCAACTGGAAGAGATGGTGAAGCATCTCGCGGAGTTGTACCGTTTGTCCAACGCGTATGTAAATACATCTTCACACATGAGTGGGAAACAAGTTTGTTAAACTGTAGCACCTGAAAATCTTTCTTAGGCCGATAAATAAGTATGTCGTTTGAAAGTCAGAGAAATGTCCTTTTCCACGATTTTTAGTTATGGTTGAGAGAAAAAAGAAAAAAATCAAAGTTTAAATGACAATAGTAAACATTTCAGAATAATGTCAATGACTGAAACGAGAATGAAAGGAAGAAAATATGAATTATGTGATTTACATATCAGTGATATATTTTTCTATATTTTTTTTCTTCAACAGAGATACGCGCAAGGTGAGCAACAGTAGTCTTGCTTGCTGCAAGTTATGCAAGATGGAGATGTTCGGCCCGTTGAATCTGCGCTGTCATCTTTATTCGCAGCAGCATATAAAGAATGAGGAGAGCTTGCAGATACCAAAGAGAATACTGAGGGAATACTGCTACCATTATTATTAAATGATTATTACGTTAACAGAATTATGAGTATTATAAAATACGTTATTTTTTATTTCTTATTATACTGCTTTTACTGTCAGTGAAAAACCGTATCTCAATCGATCAAAATAATTCCTGCGCAATATTTGACGAAATGATGGTGCGTTTATTTACTTACAATAATATTATTATGTTCCCGTTATTTGAGCACTTTCAACTGCGAAAATTATTTTTCAGTCAATCTCTTTATAGATGTACAAATGATTTTTACTTTTATACTATGAGTCTCGTGAAAGAAAGGCAATAAATCGTACAAACAGTCGCTACTACATTACTAGTTGACCGCTCAGATGCTGGCAAACTCCCACGAGGCACTCGTTGGTGATATTTTCAAATAGGATAGTAAATTTAAGAAAAGTTATTAAAAAAAGAACGACGAAACGATTTGCAAGATATATTCACTGTTGTAATACCGAGAGTTAATTTATATTTAAATTGCACTTAATTACATTTAATTTACATTTATAAATCGTCGTATGTGTGTGTACCAGCGAATTTTATTACGTCAAACTGCTAATACTATTCAACGGTCAATCTGTCACATGAATTATTTCAAGTGTTTTTTTTAATACAATTTTGGATGCTAAACTCGCGCGAATAGAAAGACTGAGGAATATTTCTGTAATTTTGTTTCCTTTTTTAAGAAAATTTCCATATATTTTAATATTATTATTAGTTATCATTCCGTCGGGCATAGAATAAATCATGTGACAGGAAATTGTTCGGTTGTATATGTGCGTACGTATATAATTTCTAAAAAACCAGAAGAATATAGAAAAAAATAGATATCTTTGAGAAACAGTTTGCATCACAGTGCAAACCGTAACAACATCTGCATTTTGCATTTCATTATCGGCAAAAGCCAAATGCCTCGGTCGAGAGATATTTTAAAGTTAAGATGTTAAACACATCATCAACATCTTACAAATGTGGTAGGGCAGAACGAATGAAAAGTCGCGTGCGACTTGTGAAAGAGGATAATTTGTCTTTGTAATAATTTTTTTCTTATTGATTGCAGAGAAGTCGTCGTTGGAAGCTGCCAATCGTACGCATATTACATATCGATTTCAAGCTGATAGAATTTACATAATAATATGCATAATAATTGAACGATACTGTTGGAGAATAAAAATTGTCTATACACCGCGCGCGCGCGCGTAATTGTAAAATCTATTCATAGAGATTTGTCCCCGGCGTTTCGCAAACATTCCAATACAGCTAACGAATCCTCAGTCTAAAGGAACAGAATTCCTGCGAAATAAGTCGGGAAGCAATTCATGAAGGACGCGGCATTAACCCGCGTTATCGCTCAAAGATCAATCGCGCCATGTAAAGGAAGAAGGTTTTATTTTCTTCGCATCAGTATACCTCGCACGATGAATAGAAGTAAGAGGCGGGAGTTTTGTCACAAAGAGAGAGGTTTACGGTCGAGTGATTTACAGCTTGGAGGAGTATATGCCTTTTTTAGGGAATTGATGTATATACGGCTCTAACATCGGATACAAGGATTGACTGCGTTTAAACGCGAAGATGTCGTTGATTTTCTCAAGTTCCTCTTCCGCGACGAGTTCCTCCTTTGCCGATTCATCGTCGTCCGTCGCTGTAGAGATCACGTGCAATGATAATTTACGTCGAGCTTTGCCGTGTATATTTTCCTGAAAGGTGCGTAAAAGAGAAAACATTACCAGCGACTTTACAGTCAGGTGATAATCATGCCACACTAGTAATAAAATATTAATGACACTACCTTGAAAAAGTTTAACAATTGCTCCCGCGTTATGGTCTTCAAATAAGCCACCTCGATGTTCACTCGATCGAAATTGTATTTCTGTGCCGAAATCTCGCTCCACAATATATTGGTCCGATAAAATAACTTTTTCGGCTTCTCGAGACGCAACGTCGCCAGAGAATTCTTATGTCTTTCAAATTTCTCTTCGGACATGGTAGATATGTAATCCTGCAACGGGTGATATTAAGGAGAAACCGATCGAAACGAAGGGAGATGACGAATGTACTTACGAACATAGAATCGATGAACAAATCGATTCGTTTTTCAACGTATCGCGGCTGCTTGTCACTTTGAACTATGATTTTAAGGCCTTGCATCACGTTTACCTTGTGCGCACCACTGAACACTATGTAGCCTAATTGTTCCTGAGTTCGTAAAACATTGAAACAGGGCTCGCCGATAATCTGAGCTAGAAGCTGTAGCAACATATTCAACTCTGTCGACTGCATACCGATTTGGTAGTACACTTCCGTACACGAGCTCTTGTGCAATTTGTTTTCCGTTTGGAATAGAAAGTGGCGACCTACGAACAACATGCGAATTGTGGAATGGCTTTGGGAAATGTTTCTGTTACTTACCGTCGTCGAGCCTGATCTCACGATGCACCACCAGCTGCTGCTGCCACAATGGCGTTATGTGAGGCATCGCGCTTTTCAATTTCGACTCGATCAGTCTAACCATATCCAGGGCTTCCTTCTCGGTCATGTTCCCGTGTATCAGACACTCCACGTGCACTCTGCTAAACAGCTGCGGTATGAACGCTTGAATTCTACCGACAGTCAGATCTGTGTGAGGGGGGGGGAGAGAAATTTTTATTTAAATCGTAAGAAACAGGGAAAAAGATGTCGCGTTATGAAGATTCGCTCTCTCCCTCTCGATAAATTACATGCATACTTACAAGCGGTCGCGTCTAACAATTCATTTTTCGTCCAGGCTTGCTCCGCTAACAAAAGTGCAAGGTAGTAGATTGCATGATGATACGGTTGCTCGGCCGCAAAATTTTTCAAATCTCTGATATACTGCAAGTGTATATTTCAAATGTAAGTGAAATCATGTGACTCAACTATTGAATGACTATAGGAAAATCCATGCGGTTTAGATACATAGTCTGTAAGAATTGTTTTGCGCGCGATAGATTGCAGACCAAGCTGAGTTTAGCTCACAACTTGACATGTGTTTATATTAATATGAGAAACCACATGAACTTTCTCGGTTGACTAAAACTACCTTTCGTCCCTCATTGTACATACATCTTCCTTTAGAATCTCGAATCTCTCCGGATTGATCTTGAGGTTCAGCATTCGGTCCACGATCTTTTCCAACAACAGGTGTTGCTTGTCGTCGTAGCCAAATATGCTGAGCTAAAGAAGCAATTTGTTATTGCGCATAATAGAGTGCACAGAACACTTGGGTTCACGAACAAGTTAGCCTTGCTAATAGAGAAGGAGGAAATTATTGCGTCGAAAACAGAAATGCAACGCTGCGTTTCCTAATTATTTCAACGTCTCTGACCTACTGTCTATCTCTTCACTCACTGTTATTCCATATTGCGTATAGCTGAGCTTCCAATGTAAACCAGCTAAATCGGCGGGATAAACATACTCGGTGAACGAGTCTTGCAATAGCTGGACAAACATATAACCCAAGTTGCAGCTAACTGGATCCATATAGGCAAATGGACTACAAATTGAAGATCGAACAATTATTGCAATCGCGATAATATGATAAATTGGCGGAGATAACATAAGCAATCATGAAAAAATCGAAAGTGATAAAGCTTACAAAGAATTTCTTTTGATAATAGATACAACATTAATCTCCATATAATTACCGCCGAATGGATTGTAAAACATATTCTAGCATACCTGACAAAATCAAAAAACATTTTGGCTTTTGGTACTGAGAATTCGTCATCCCGTTTATACCAAAGTCTCACGAACGATGTGTCTTCTATGATCGCGGGGAACTCTTTTACCTAAATAAAATATTGATTATTATTGATCCTATAAACGCCAAAATTATGCTACAGACGGTAATGATTTCTTGCGCAAGGTATCGAAAGTACCATAAAGAAGAAAGTCATAAGAAACTTCTTCGAAAAGAGAGAGAGAAAAGAAGCACGCGGCATATTGTGACAAATATAGCCAATTACATTTTCGTCCCGTGGTTTTATATCCAATCTCGACGGAATAAACTCATTTCTGGCAGGTAAGTGCAATTCCGAATTATAACCGGCATTCTCCCACATGTCAATTACTTCTGCCGATATTTTCTCCTTTTTATATTTAGTGCCGTACCAATGTTCAGTTTCATTCGCTGTACCTTCGCACGCTTTCGCAACCACGTGAACCCGAATATTTTGCGGTGTTAAACATTTCACTATCGTATCGATCAAATCTGGCTTCCACTGTGGGAAAAGGCGATCCGCGCACAGAACTTCATTCATTGGATAATCCCACAGTCCTGAGACTCTGGAGGACGCGTACAAGCGAGGCTGCTGCTTCTCCGTGAAACGGAAATTCACATTCGCCAAATCTCGATATTCCTGCAACGACATACCATTCCGAACATTGTCTTAAAAAAAAAAAAAGAAGAAAGAAACGACGATTGCCCCGTCTTCTTCCGACGACAAATCAAATTGAAAAGATGTTGCATCAGTTTATCTACTGAATCGTTTCCTTCGCTTTATTCGTTGATTTTTTTTTTTACCAAACTCAAGATGTATTTATCGCTTACGTTGTAGATCCATTCGATTGGGCCTTGTTTCTTTAACATATTGATATATTGAAACATTAGTGTGATGATATCATCGGTATGCTTGAAACCTTCCTCAGTGAGATCGACGACAAGAATGAAAAAGCAAAAACCTCGAGCGTACGCGTGTTTTCCGCATATGAGAGAGTTACACCAACCCCTCGTTTTCAAAGCCGACAACAGAGATCCTTCCCCTTCGTGTCCCAGCAAGTGGCTGACGTAATACGACGGCTGTGAACGACGGAAATGAGAGGAGTTGTATGCAACGAAATCTGCGCATCAATTATTGTAGCGATAACAATGAAAAAGAATCGAATAAATATCGTGCAAAGCGCCGGCGTATTTTACCGCAGCTTGATAATGTTGATGCAAGTCTGGTATAGGAAACGTAACGTGTAGGTTCCTTCTATCCTTTATTGGCACGATGTGCCATTTGGTACGAAAATGCTCGTCATTAAACGGATGCTCACGCCATACTGGGACATCGATTTCCTTGTTTCGCACCTGACTAAAGAGATTTACTACCATCTGTTCGAGTTCGTCTAAACTCTCTAAACGGAAAATTCGACATTTAGTGTGCGCAACATTTATCGTGAATATTGGGTTTGTTCCGGAAAGAGACGGTGCCGACCTTGAGAAATTTTTCGCCAAAAGACGAGGCATTACACAAAGATATATTTCAGTCACACGCGTGAAAAAGATCTTCCTTTACTACTACTTTTTGTACGTTGGCGACACCTTTCGGAAAGAGAGAAAAATTTTTCCGAACAAACTCATTAATCGTCGGCTCACCTTTGCCAAGAACGCAGAGCGACATGATATTAGCGGAATAATATTTCTCGTGAAACTCGAGCAGTCTCTCCCGAACATTGATGCCCATCTGTTTCGGTAGCACATCCAACGTCTCCCTATTTCCCGTGCCAAACTTGGAATATGGATGGCGGGGGTTCGCGGTCGACTTCTCCAGTTGATCGAATCGCCAAATATCGCACGCCAGATTTTTCAAATGCTCCGAGTGGATGGCGTTTAGCTCCAGTTCGGTCAACGTATCCGTAAAGAGAGGTGTCAGAAAGAACTGAGCGAAACGATCCAAGGCACCCTCCAATTTCGTCGGGCTCACGTCAAAATAATACGTGGTATGATCTAAGTACGTTGTCGCGTTGCTGACGCCGCTGTTCTCCGACAGATACTTGGAGTAATCGTTCTGCTCGGGATATTTTTCAGTTCCCAGGAATAACATGTGCTCGCAAAAATGCGCCAAACCGGGCAAGTCGTCGGGATCGCACATGCTGCCTGCAACAAGATATCTCTAAAAGTGTGTGTAAAATTTCGGGGTGATTAGGTTCAACATCTCTTTGCAAGATACATTTGACAAACTAGAGAAAATTTCATTTAGCCGATTATCGAGATACCGACTATCGTAAAGATTTGAAAATTTCCTTTGATCAGACTGATTGTATTACGTATGATATTGGAGTGATCGACTTTGCATCGATTTGTTGCTTCAATTCTGAATTTTTCCGTCTTTTCTTCAGAAAAGAGCTAAAGTCCATCGGAATTGCTTGGAATTAATATGAATGCCAATTAAAGAAAAAAAAAAGAGAGAGAGAGAAGTTGAAGGAATATATATATATACGAATTGTAAATAAAACGCAATTAAAATTACCAATGTTAACGTCTAATGCAGCAGCACTCTTGTCAGTCCCTGGATCACTTATTAAAAGCACTTTCATTTTATTAGCTAGCACTAATCCTCTATAAAATCTGTCATCATTTTCCGACTTTATTATGGTGTCGAATCGTTCCAACACGTGATCGTGAATAGCCATATTCGTTATCAAAGCCTTGGATTCTGGTGTCTTATTCCTTAAAATATATACAAAGATTTCACAAGAATAAGAAATGAATAAAAGTATGTAATGCTTCAAAAATCATTAAGATAATTGGTCCATCGAACCATTTTCTTAGGAATCCTTTTAAATTTTAGCCGCATACTGATGAAAATACACGTTTGTGTGAAGTTAGAAAACATTTGGAAACTGAGATATTAACAAACTACAGATGACATTTTTTCCCTTGTATCCCTTGAGGTTAATAGTCGTATTTTTAATTTTGTCTGAACCACATTTTGTTTCAGGATTTGGAAGAATTATTGCGCGATCTTAAAGACTAATATGGAAACATTGTGAAATTTCAAAATTATTGATCGTTTTGAAGATATAGCCATAAGAAATTTATAATAATATCTGTGATGTGAACCTCTCTATTGGCTTAACCGATGTATGAATAAAGTATTTGTAGGGAAAATAAATAATATTGCGTGTATATTTGTCTTCATTTCATGCTCAAAATTTATCACTTAAATAGTTGAACAAAGTTGTAGGAAAGTGTTTTCTTTTTTTTTCCAGTAAAGAATAAACTTGTACAGGAGTCTCCCATGGCCACTGAAAATCCGGCGCACCACAAGCCCAACTATTTTAATCATTTGCTGAATACTTGGTTCTAAAACGTTTCGAACGTCAGTCGTTCCGGGGAATATACATGTGCGTTTGCAGATATAAAACATATATTATATTCAGTAGTTACTTCTTATATCATACTAGATATTGTGTAAAGTCATACGACGGAAATGATTAAGTTGATGTTTTTCTGTTTATTAAAAAGTAACAAGTTACTAATCAGAAATACTACCACGACGTGTGCTTTATTACTATATAAACTGTACGTGTTTTCCTGAAAAGAATGTTAACAATTTTAACGATGAATCAATTTGTTACATTATCCTGCCATGATTTTCGAACGAAAAATGCAACGCGTAATATATAGTAAATAATAACCAATAGCTATTATAGTCAAGTGTATTGCAATTATATAAATCTTTTACGGAGATATTTGGCCTTACATTTAATAATGTTGACAGTTAAGCAGTAAAATTCTTACTTGCATTCGCAACTCTCCGCGTCGAGAGAGATCTTGTCGTTCAGATGAAGCGACGTCATCGTGAAATATCAACGGCGAAACTTGACGCAGATAAAAAACAAAAGAAATCGACCCTTTCGTCTGCACTATCAACGAATGATTCCCGAGTTCTCGCGCACACTCGCGACAATGCTTCTACGAGCGAGTATATTTTCACGTTAACATATGCGGTAGAAAAGTGCTGATTAAATGTAACAATTGCAAAGATCCTATATATTACTCCTGAGAGAAAGGAAACCGAGAAACGATCAAAGCGCCCGATTTCTCCCCTCAATGATATTCGATGCTCCTTGCAGTGAGAACAGGTTAGGTTGGCATGAAGTCAATATAGATGTCAGGTTAGATGAACCCATCCAAGGCTGTTGTCACGATCGCGGGAATATTGGAAAGAAGGAGAGGAATCCATCGGTTATTTATCACAATCGACACATCGCACACCGAGCAGCAACATCAACCACATATCGTATCCAGAATTTCATTTGTCGCATGACAAATGTCGTCGAATGCCGATTGGCTGCGGCCCGTCTGTCGTGATATAATCGCGCTGTAAGTCATCCGCTGTATCGTGTACGACCGTCGTAAAAAGAGTCGCTCGATCACGAGAAAAATCCGATAATTCTCTCTCACTTGGCAGAAAGTGATAGCTCATACCTGTAGAGAGATCGCATGGGTGCGAGCAGAAGGCGTGATTTTACAACGCGTGTGGCAAACATCGAAACGAATTGACGAACGACTCAATGAGGTTGTATCGAACGCACGCAGTTACGACGAGCTATATCAGTCTGCGAGCATTGTGGATTCGGTCGTATAATTGAAGTTGTCATGAAGTATGATGGTAGTAGATGGCTGTGCGTATATTTCATCCCTAGGGAAACTTTCGGTTAGCACCGAAAATACCTCCCTTTTTCTCATACCAGATACTTTATCGACGACCCATCCCACGCACATGCGCAGAGAAAGCCGTCCCACGGCTAACACATTGGACACTTGACGGCAGTAGCTCTCGAACGCGCGCGATGTGTGGATGTGTCGTGAAAACGGCGAATGAATGCGCGCGCGCGCGCACACACGTCAAAGGCAGTAGCGCAGTAGATAACGTGCCTTCTCTCGCGGGGTCAGTGCGCGAGAGAAAGAGCTCGCTCTGATTCGTCGCGAGCGTTTCAAGTGCCAAGTTTCGGTAGTGCGTGAACGAGTGTGATCGACTGAGTGCGCGACGACGACGTTCGAGCAACACTGATATCACACTTGGGCGGCGCACGGCCGCCGGTGACTCGTTCGTCCCGTTTGCTCCGCCGTCGTCCGCTTGCATGCCACGCTCCGACGACGACGACGGAGCTAACCGCTTCGCGCTGCTCTTTCAACTGGGCCGTTTCACCGATACTGTATATATTCCTAAATTGGCGGTAAGTTGTTAATCTTTTGCAAGCAGCTTGTTCTTTACGAAACAAAAGCGATGCGCACGTATCGGAAAATGACAGAAGGTGTAGAAGGTGCAACTGGTACGGACGCTCTGTAGCAAAAGTCGATCAATCGGAAGAGAAACATATTCTTCACTCTTCGGAGCATGAGCTCTGCATTTCGAGTGAGACTCTCTGCAACCGTTCGTAAAATTCACTCCCGAGCGAATTTACCCGAGTGTACTTGGCTTTGATTATTTTCTGCGCTGCGTATTCTCGTCCGAGGAAATATATAGTGCGCGCAACTATGGAAAAAAACAGACTTCGTTCTCATTGTTGTTTATCTTTGCCTCTATCTCCGAGATGTTCTCGGCAGAGAGAGGGGAGGGAGAAAAAAAGAGATGAATTAAAGCAAGTCTGTAAAGCGCGTTTAAAGTGTTAATACGCCCATCGAAATGTTAAAATATCGATCAATCAAATGAACGTCTTTCCTGAAAAATCCCACACAGCAGAAATGTCCGAAATCATAGGGGTGCTGAGATTGATATATATATATATATTTTTATTACAGACATTCGACCGAACGATTCTTTCCGAAATTTCTATAAATTGATCAGGCCCTCTATTGAATACCCGGGTTGGAGATGATAGCCACATACATAATATGAGAAAAAATCGATTTTCTATGCGATAAACATTTGTAACACGCGAGAAATGGTACAATTATTAAAGAATGACGTCTCTATAGCATTGATGGATTATTATGATATGAAACACTGCTTAGCAGAAATATTGGTTACAAGCGAGATCTCCCCTCTTCTCCCGCTAAAAGGGATGAAAAATCTCTCGTCGAGAGCTAGAACAGCCCTACTAGTATCGTTCTATCTTGTTGTACCTATAAACGAAAGTCCCTGAAACGAGAACTACCTACTTCCGAGCAATAAAGCCCAATGCCGTAATCATCGTGATTTAACGACACCGGCTCACCACACCGCCGTGCAGGGAGTCACTGTTCGAGTAAAAATAGTCTTTTCACGTCGGATTTTTTCGACCACGCTGCCACCTGCCAGATAGGATCCATTAGGTAGCAGATTTTGTCAGACACCTCTCCTTTCGTGAAAAAAAGATTAATCTTACCGAAGAGGATCCTCGTTTTTACTCCGCCATTGTTCCTTTTTCGATAACAAACAAAAAGGGACGATATATTTGACACATATCTATATTTCGAAGAACAATGAGCAGTATCTCGAAAATATTCCGTGCAACGCGATCGATTTTACACGGAATGCATTTTCAGCTTTAAACACGAGAATGTGATACTTATCTCGACTAATAGAACTCGCGATACTAATAGAAGCGTGCAACGCGCGTGATAACGCGCATCTCCCCGCGATATACATCCTTTTTCCCCAGTCATTTCTGCCGACGTAGCGTAACGATCGCGTTCCTCTGCGCAATACTATTGTTTCTGCAAAAGTGTCTTATAAAAAGGCATCGCTGAAAATAAAATGGTCGAAAGATTATAAGGCTTGTTTTGGAGGAAGAAACCGAGATTTATCAGGGAGAAAGTAAGCTTCCGGAAATGTCGTCGCGAAGAATCGCGTGCGAAAATCTCGCAGCTGTGCAAAGCGTGAATTGTTTATTCCGTCTGAATTTAATTAGCAAATTAATGCGGCTACACGATGGTTTCGTCTAACGAAAGGTGCGCTTTATTTTTCTACGAGCCGAAGCTCATTGCGTTCGAGAGAGACTTGCAATCAATGGCGTTGCTGCCTGAAGGGTTAATTGAGCCAGGTCGGTAAAGTTTACGTAATAATATATATATCTCGTCGACGGCCGTGCGTGTCAACGGAGACAAGGTCAAGGTCGTCCTCACCTCCGTGATAAGCAACTAACGCGGTTGCTTTTTCACGAATGGAAAGGACAAGTTGCCAAATTTGGAACGTCTGCTTCTTCGATCGATAGGAAAGAGAGGTCGTCGCGCACGCGCGAAGTCAAATATGAGAGTTAAATGCGCGAGGAATTACAGCGCTTAGCGTATAGCACTTCGTTCGGACCGGGGCGGGCGCGTGCTTTTATGAATTATTCACAGCGTGCACAAATCCGCGAGGGAGAGAGAGAAGTAGGATGATAATTCTCGTCGGAGCCAAGGTCGGAAACGCGCGCGCGCGCCACTTGTGAAATTTCTCGGACATCTATCTCCCGCTTGGCGATCTTACATAATAACACGCATTTGTTGTCGTTCGCTCTCTCTTCTCGTCGAGAGTTTCGCAGAATACGGAGACCGCACGATAACTATGCAACGCGATGTATTTATACCGAGCGCGGATAATATTTATCTACAGTCTCCGCATACTTGCTTGAAAATTCCTACTTGTTTCTACAGTTGCGCACTTTTTATTAATAACCGTTAAGTACACCGAGATTATCGTGCATCTGGTCGCATTATTATTAGCGGCAGCTCTCCTCTCGCGCTAATTATAGGTCGCATTATATATTCATTGTCTCCGGTCTCTGATGACAGGTCAATGGAACATCGCGACGGTTGTTCCGAAAAGAGACACATTTCCAAGATCGGTCACTACGCGCTCCGTTACATCACGTGCGATAAAAAAAGCACGTGCCGTCGCTTGTTTATTCGCTGGTCTTATTATTTCGCACGTTCCGAGAGAAAAATGTTCCTTTCCAGATGAAAATCGAAACGTCCCAGGACATGACGTAGAGCGGGAGTGCGGCGCGTGTATGAAGAGAATCGCCGCGCCATGAGGAATTTCGCGCCGTAGCGTTGCGATATGTTTAGATGACGACGCCTCCCCGATGGACAATACGTTGCCGATGAACACGCTGTCGGTGGTCGAGGAGGAGGCGACGAACGTCGCCAACATCGCCGAGGCGTTCCCGCCGCACGTCGACACCAGCAACATCGTTTTACAGCCGGAGTCGCCTACGAGCAAGAAGCAGGCCCTCAAAACCTTCGCCGAAGTGAACGCTCTCCTGCAGGCTGGCAAGAAGCGAGAGGTCAAGCTGATGATGCGCGAGAACGCCTGGCCGCTGAACAATCGCATCCGGGCGCAACTCTGGCCGGCGCTCTGCAACCAGCATGCGCTCGGCAAGAGCATGCTGGACGGATTCTACTGGGACATGGTCAATCAGGTCTTCGGCACGACAGGTTGGTATAGTGCGATGTTTCTTTCTTCGCGAAAAATCAACAATTTCTCACTTTTGCAGAACTCGAACAGCACAAGTCGATTATGCTACCACCTTTCGTCGATAGCACGCATTGCTTGTCGTACAATTTAACGAGGACTGGTAGAAACGTGGCGGATAGAGTCGTATCGGTGCTCGGATACGCTTGTCCCGATATTACGTACAGTCCCTCTCTTTATCCGTTAACAGCGCTCCTCTTGCACTTTATGCCAGGTGAGTGAAATTTCTTTTTGCAAAAAAGTATCATTCTTCGCGATAGAGCGATATCAGAGCGGTGAAATATTTTCAGAGGAAGAATGCTACCATTGCATGGCCACTTTGGTAGCAGCCAAAGAGAAAACGTTTATCACGCAGACCAAACTTCTCTATGAAGTCACGTGGAAAACAGTGGAGCAAATTACCAAAAAACACGTGGTGCGTAGCGTTTTCAAAGAAAAACACGTCCCAGATGAGAGAGATCATTGGCTAGATCATCTTTTTGCTAAAACAAAGAAACGCTACTACTATTTCTTCTCCCTCGTATTGGCTTCTTCCTAAAGGAAGGCAAGAACATATACTTTGTTTTCATTATTGTTCCTTTCAGAAATCAGCTGCCGTACATTTAACGAGGCACTGCTCCGGCTCGAGGGCCGAAAGGATCTACATGGACTGGATCTGGTGGATTCTTCAGTTTCTTCCATTTCAACATCTAGTCAGGGTTATGGACTGTTTCTTACACGAAGGCATTAAGGTAGATATATACACGTAAAAGTTGGCGTTTACCCAACGGATAAATATGATTTGCGCGTACTGTGCAATGTACTTGCGTTCTAGGAATAGGACAAACGTTGAATTCGACTCGTTGCCAATTCGTCAGGTTATTTCGCGTTTTTACGGCCATGCTCTGTTGAAGAAGATCTTTCGGAAAGTTACTACGAATAAGTGTGTTATCCAATAAGAGGCAAATAAAGAAAACGCGTGAAAATGATAACAACGTAACGAACGCAAAGATATTGTATCGGCAACGTGGTTTGGATCTAACGCGCGTTCTGACGACGATTTCAGGTCTTCTATCGGGTAGCAATGGCTTTAGTTTTATTATTTTACAAACACTCTTCGCCACAAAATTCAGAGTGGATGAATGAGATTTCGAAGAATGGCATAGACTCTGCTCTGTCCAGGTTCTGCAGGCAGATACCGGTAGGTAGCGCGACGTTCGCTGAAAACGATGATTTCAAGACGTTTGTACACGCAGGTGTCTTCTTTCCAGGTAACGCCTGCCAAGTTCCTGCGCACCGCCTTCGGGATTCGCGGACTCAGCTCCGCATACATATCAAGAGTGTTTCTGCGCACGGAAATGGCTCTCAAGAGCAGAAACGTTCTGACAGGTTCTCGATCCCTGGCTAGGTCGCGTTCCACTGATAATTTGCCCACCAGCCAGTCCCAAGTCAACATCCAGATGATGTCCCACACGCTCACAATACGCGAAGTATGTGGCTTTTTCTTTCCCTCGCGCGTTCGTTCGCCGGTAACAAAGATCCGTCCTTCTACCGAACATAACATTTGGTTTGTTGATCCCCTCGCTTCCGTTTTAAGCAACAAGCTTGCTGTAGGCTGTTGAGTGTGAGAAAAGGGGCGATTCCTCGTGAAAAGGTCGAGATGGCCAATAATTGCCGTTACGAGGAAGAATCGCCCGTTTTTTCGGTTGTGCAATTTTCTCGTTTTGTAGAGACCGGCCAACATTTTAAAATAGGTTCTCTTGTAGGGTTCGACGAGCTCTCGATGAATCTTTCAATAATGAAATTTGTTTTCAGAAAGAATGTGAAGACACGTACAAAGACAGGGTATCGTATGATTATCTTTTCTGGGAAATGTGTTGTTAGTTTTATGTGCTCTGCCCGCGCTCCCCCTCTCACCACCTATATCCACCACCGACCCTTCCCCACGGAGAAATATCACCTCTGTGTTACACACACACACATATTGCTACTCTACTATTACTCTACTACTGTATACCATTATTACTATTGTGCGTACTCACTCATCGCCGCCACGCGTTTGTCGTGCCAGCTTTTCCGCTGCTGTTATCATCTATTCATGCGCAGTGATTCTTCAGCTATTTTAATCGAAAGTTGTCGATTAGGAATTTATACTATACGCGTTTTATTATATGGGTGATTCTCAACAAAACTCTCGTTGGTATGAGACGCGCAACAGTTCGATGATGTTCGAGTACCTCCTATAGAATATACAAGAAAAGCAGTAAGTACGCGCGTATATCATCGTGTCGGTGAGAGCTTTTTCCAGAGTGTGTGTGTCTCACCGCGTAAAATTGTTGTATATATAAATAGATTTTGAGAAAGATATACGCGCGTACACACAAGGAGAAACGATCGGGCAGCCAAGAATTTTGCTCTTTCCTTTCGAATATCCGTGTAAGAAATTGGCGCCTCGCACGCTAGGATATAACTGACGCGTATTGTGCTGTCTTGTGTTGTGCTGCCTTGACTGATGGATTTAATGACGGGCGTACCAGGGCGCGCACAGTCCCGGACCGCGTGCCCTATCGATGGGCGGTTACCCCATACAAAGTATATGCTCTCAGATCCTAGATATGCCTGACGTAAGTAAGAGTCGCCTCCTTTCAGCGAACTATCCGCCGGGAAAGCTCGTTGTGGCAAAAAACACTTTCAACCGAGCGAGTTTAGCTGAAATTATCAGCATTCGTTTTGTCTCTCTAACCGAATGACTGTTATTGCATGACGAATGATAACATATTGTGCATTGATCCAGCACGACGATAAGTAAGCGTTTTATCGCTGGAGAGCATTCTTCGCGATGCCTGTAAATAATCTCTCTCCATATGTTGTGCATCAGCACGCGGGCATTCGTTGTTACGTTAATCGCGAGACAAATAGTGGCGCATAACACACATTTCATCAAAGTTCAGCCAGACTACACACAATCGCGATTCGATCGCAATCAATGGAAGATGCTGCCAACGATAAAATCTCCTTTGCTTCGTTATCATTCCGATATGGAAGAACACGGTAAACGTGAGCAGAAAAATGTCTTTGGATGATATTTTTGCAGCGCGATGATATTTCTTCAAGGAGAACCGTTTACTGTATTTTTCCGTAAAACAGCTGATAATGTCGTTTGATTTTTACCGAGCGCATGTTTTCCAACATGATTTAGTTTGCTCCTCAAGGCGAGACCTAATGTTTGCACAAAAATCATTGTTGCCGATTAAATTGATGAATTTGTTGTTTATCCCCCCCAGTTGCTTACCTTATGGTCGTGGCTACCGGCGAGAATCACGATGTATCAGCCGGTGTTGCTGTACACAACCGAGGAACACGGGTGCTCCCTGACAACGTTTTACGTGCGAGTGGAGCAACACGAGCCGACTCTGCTGATGATTAAAACCTGCAATAACGAGGTAAGAACTCGGTTACTCCTTACATTTCGAAAATGACTGAACGACTTTCAGGTATTCGGAGCATACTGTTCCACAAGGTGGTACGAACGCAACATGAAGGTCGACGGGCAAAGACAGGCATATTTCGGTACGGGTGAAACGTTCTTGTTCAGCTTGTATCCTGAACGACACAAGTACGCGTGGGTGGGCATGAATCCGGAACGGCAGCAGTGTCTAGTGAAAGACGGTGACAAGGACAGCGACAAAGGTATGAAATCTAAAGCTATCGACCACTCGGCCGAACTGTTCATGGCCGCGGACTCGAAGATGATAACCATCGGTGGTGGAGACGGCCAGGCGATTTGGATGGACGAGAACATTAGATTCGGCAAAACGGATCACTGTTCGACCTTCGACAACCCACCTCTCTGCGCCAGCGGCGACTTTGAGATCAGAGTGTTGGAAGTGTACGGCTTCGCGGGTGCCTAAAGAAACAGTGCAGTGCGGTGCATCGGTTTGTTTATTCCCTACTGCCATTTAGCGACTCTCTTTCTACACTCGTGTGTATATACACACATCAATGAGAGAGGAACGCGCAAAATTCGCCCAGTGTGGAAGGACGGATAGAGAGGAAGAGATGTGTATATAAATATTCTGCATTTTCGTATTATTTAGTTTTGTGTGATCTGAAACATTGCTTGATTTGCATTCACTCAAAGAGAATCGAGAGAGATGCAATTGTTAAAATGATAATCGAAAGTATTGAATAAAGCATTGTTGCTGCGTTTGAGGCTTTTTAAAGAGAAAGCCTTTTTAGAAGATTCATTTTCATCATTAGAAAACTCTTTTAATTTCCAGCAAAAGTCTCCTTTACTCGATGTAATCGAAAAGTTTATAATAGTGAAGAGATTGTAAGAACGATACGCTTTCTTGTCTGTGAAATACGCAGATATAGCCGGGTAACAATGCGAATGTGGTAGTATTGTATAGTCATAGCTAACTATATTTGACGTTGTATCCTGTAAAGATACAAAAAAGAAACAGGGTGTTTGGAGAATAAAGGAGAAAGGATGACAAACTTTTAGGGCTTCTAGTTAACATCGAATCGCTTGTGAATTATATGAAAAAAGTCTCGAATGTTTTCTTCAACATGTTGAAGCCATCACGGATGGACATATGTATGTACATCATATTTGATGTATACACATTTACATGTAATACTGGTGAAGTAAATTTGTCATTGGCGCGAATTTCGAGTAAAATATTGAACCCTTATGTATCCATACGATCGAATCATTTCAGGAAACTTTCTATTGTTATTCACAGTCGATTCGTGGACTGACAAAGTTTTTCTTTCGTTCAAACACAGACACCACACGTGTACAACTGCTTGGAATTATGAATTAAACATTATTAAACTTTATGTTATGTTTCGTTATTTTTATTTATATTTACGTATAATGCCGAATAGTACAGAATTTCCTTCCTTCCGGATCGGGCGAGTTTCACGTGTCAAGATGCGCTTAAACGAGCAACGATTCCTTGCTGCAATTATTGTCAGCCATTCATCCGCCGAGTACTGGTGACAATAGTTGATTAATATCGAGTAATTATTGACTCGCATGTGTTTATATATATATATATGTGTGTGTGTGTGTGTGTATGTATGTATGTATAAACACACACACACACACACACACACACATATATATATAACCCTTAGAGATACAGTAAAAGAATACGTAAAGAATTACCGTGATGGCGTTTATCGCGGCGATTAATTAGTCAACGATATAAACATCGAGTATTATAAGTGATGAATGATCGTCACTTCCGAGCGCTCGTAGATCCATAAGACGCATGTCGTACGGGTCACGTACTCATATTATGAGACAATTGGAGCTGTATTTCGAAACGGGCAGCTTGTTCGACGGTACTAAGCAATGCAAGTGTTGTAACCACATCTTTCGGCCAACGAGCTCTCACTTACGATCCCGTACCTTGTCTCTGCTTGGCACTTTTTCAGTGGCAACTGGAAAACTTGAGCAAGAGTTTCATTTTAATTAACGAATTTGGACGATTTCTGTTACGATACTTTTCATCAGTACCGTCGTACTACGGTGATTACATTACCGGCAATATAGGCTCCCCCCGAGTATTGCGGCCAATAATTTAGAGCAACTTTGAATTGTTCACCCATATGCGACGCTTTGCGAAGGTATGTTTAAACGGGCAATTTTTCACAACGACTATATCGAGCAATTATTGGATCACATGCCAAAGCTGTGATCTGTAGAAAATTGCTAGCTTCTTTTCATCGGAACATTGTTCTTTCACAAATACAATGAAACCCTCTTCTATCTTGTCTTTTTTTTTTCTTTTCTTTTTCTTTCTACCTACCGACCCAATTAAATCATAAAGACGACGCATTTGTCTCGCTCACTTGGTCTTTCTTTATGATGTCCGAAAGGAAACGAAACAGAATGTTAGGGCCCCGACAGGTAGGTATGGTCTTGCGTCTCGATTTTAAATGTGTCGAGCAAATTGAACAATTTCATACAAGATGATACAAAGTGTTATAAGTATTTCGATGTATTCCAAATGTTATTGAATACCACCCGGTGTACGGGCCCAAAATCAACACTAGCGGGTACTTTGTGAGTACAAATTCATAGGGCCTCTGCGACGAGACATCGAATTTGACTGCGAGTACGTATCAAATTTTCTGCTCTTCCCTTGAAGGAAAAGTCCTGAGGAAAAGAACATCCGGTCTCGGAACGTCCCATATAATCGGCACAGTATCGCGCACACGCCGATTAACGTTCGTTGCCCTTCTAAACATACCTACGTAACGGCGCGATTGCTTTCATACATGGGAGGATACGAACATATCGAGACGAAAGATTAAAGGAGGATTGGACGTTTCTTCTGTTGCTTTATGTTATTTTCATTCATCAATATGATATCGCGCTGATGATGATTGTTTTCTTAACCGCGTCAGCCGCCAAAATCGCTCTCGTGTCAGACAGACTGTCGGAATCATAATTTATTATCAAATCGACCTTATTTATCGCTGTTGTTATATAGCTTTGACAAAAAGCTATCAGTACACGAGAAGGAATTTTGTTTGTAAAATTGCGAATTTCCGCAAAAGTGGTTTATATAAGGGTTACGTGACGTATAAAACTTCAAGGAACATGTGTGTGAATTGAAGTAGAAAATATCTCCTGTAAACACGAATCCAATTCTCGAAACGGTTATCCATCTACAAATGTTTAAAATTTATAAATAACAGCACAGTTTTTCGGAACATTTTCTTAGAAGTGGAAGTGGAAAATATAAGAAAAAAGACATAAACATTACAGCAATCGTTTAAATTGACATTGATCTAAGGTAGATTGAGTAGCCGCACGAATAACATCATGATTGTTCATTATTTTGCTCAATCGCGTTATTAATACATTGTATTAATTCAACTCGAGTATTAAGTTCTCATCTATATACTAAACTTTTAATCCTTACACTTTAATCTTGCATATTTGCCACTTTCGGTCAAAAAAATGTCTCAAAAAATTATATTATCACATTTATACACTTCAAACGCTTGTAAATGGATAATCGTTTTGAATTGGACTCATGTTTGTAAGACATTTTTTACTCCAATTTACAGTAGAAACATGTTTCTTACAGGCATGGGAGCGACTCACTTTTTTTACATTTCCTCACTTAAACTTTTTTCGTACTTGAGCCCTTTCAAAAAAAAAATTACCACAGAAAATCCATGTTCAATAATTTGCTTTATTTACCTTTTTTTTCCAATTCAAGAATGAAATTCACTCTTCTCGCAATTTTTGATAACGAAACCGACCTAATGTCTGTTTTTAAGTTTGTACGTCATATAACACTTACTGTGTGTACATATGTAGACAAGCACACAGCATGGACCATGAGTACGTAAATATTTTTTTGTCAATTATGCGTGAAATGGTGAAGCACAAGAGATGGCTTCTTATTTATGAGAGAATTGACGAGTGTTTATACGTTAACGAAGATTGTATGGAATGTTTATTAATTCTTTAACAATATGAATGTAACACTATAAAACACCTCGAGAGACCTGTCGCAAAATAAATTTAGAAACAGGTCGACGCTAGGTTCACCTAGGTGCAACTGGTGTAAATAAAATGAACATCCAAAAGCGCAATTGTTGAATAATCTGTTGTTGATTTAAATGTATAAGGAATATACTTTCAAGATAAATCTCACAAAGTAAGAATCTCTATTATAAAGTAGTATAATGTTAGAGAAATCCGTGTAATTATCCTTACGTAACGTTATACACAAAATCTGAAACGCACATAAATTCTTTCATAACTGTTTCGAGGAGAAATAAATGTCGAATGACAAAATTGTTGACAAAGGCGCCGAGTTGCATCGCGCACAAACGACTTTTTACCTGTTCGAGAGTGCGAACCTTTCCCTTTAATTTGCATTCTCGCATTGAATAATCTCAGCATGGAAAACTTGCAAAATCAACTTTTCGCCGTACATGGCTAATGAGTGATAATCTCCGTTAAAGAAAGTAACGACTAGTAGGAGAGACTTTGAAATAGCTCAGCCGAGATCCCGACTGTTTAATAGAGAATCAAACTTTATATCGCTCAAATTTTTCGTCACACTAGATGGCAAATCCATCTATCACTTATCCCAAGTGAGTCAGCTGTTATTTCAAAACATAGTTAGAAAATCTCCGCTACGAGCCGCCACTTTCCTCCACGAATAATCGAGATCGTAGTACAGCTGTCCGACAAGTCAGGCGTATTTTTATTCTCGTTGAACGATTCAACGATGTTGGAAAACACGCCTCGTTATAAAATAACACAATTTTCAACAATAACGTCAGATATGAATTTATTTTCGACATATTTATTTTTATTTTCTAGTAGTACGAGTCAACGGCGCTGTAGACGCGCTTGAATTTCTGTCATAAAACGAGAGAAAATTCTTATGTGAATTGAGTAGATTTGACTTCGATGATACACGATCGATCAAACCACGTACTTTTTCTTCAAGGAACTATCGGATTAATCCGGTCGAAATTTATATATTTGATACTAAATATATCCATATGAATGTTCTTATCTTCAGTGAGATTACACTATTCGTAGCACGATAACGCGCGCAGTTTCGTCTATCCGCCGTTTCGAAAGTACAGCAGCTCCCGCTCAGTTGTGTACGTTCTCTCGCGACTCAAGTTGGACACTTTCCAAAACGTACGCGCTTCTTGTAGGGTAACGAAACAAATCAATCGCACGGTTCGTGTAATACTACGTATATATAACGAGCGGTTCGTTCCGCCAACTTCATAGGCGTACACGTGGCCGAGTGTATCTCCAGGGACATATCTCGCGCGGGGCGTTTTATTAGGAGAGGAGCGCGACATCTCTCTCCGATTGACCGCGTCGGAAACGCGCGATGCGTGTCCCGGCGCGACGAATCCTGCGAACGATGTCCAGGTGTTAATAACACGCCGGTCGTTTTCAAGCGGGGAAGGTATGGAGGGTGTCAACGGTCAGCTGCAGACCAAGTACCAGAAGATCGCCACGGAATACTCAAAGGTGAGGCGTAGAGAGACGAACGTAACAACATGTGTGTCGTGTTGAAACCTTTGCAGATTCGTGCGCAAGCGAACGTTCTGAAGAAGGCTGTGATAGAGGAACAAACGCGTAACACGGATATTCGGAATCAATTGAAGGAGAAGGAGGTGGAACTACGTAGAGCCGAGCAGGAATTGGACAGTTTGACGTTTCGCAATCAGCAATTGACAAAGCGTATAACTGTGCTGCAGGAGGAATTGGACAAAGCGCAGAACAGATCCAAAAAGGGCAGGAACAAGCCGTCAGAGAACAACAGCATCCCAGCACCGCCCAACAACATCCTGGACGAGGAGTTTCAGAAGAAGATAGTCGAGAATGCTCAATTGCTGTCACAAATTAGCGACAAAGATAGCGAAATTGAGAGTTTGTACGAAAGGATAGAGCAGCTAGAATGCAAGGTCGACCATAGCGAAAAGTCAAAAGTGGAGTCTGAGTGTCAGTACCAGAATACGATAGATAAGCTGGAAAGAGAGAGGAATGACTTGCAGAGGAAATTAAACGACAGGCAGAAACAGGAAGAAACGGTGTCGTGGTCGAGCAATGAGGGCAAACGCGATGGTGGTTACGACTTTGATGCGAGGGGAGTGCTCTCGAATCATCGTCAAACGGAACCGTCCCCGTTTTCCTCGCCGTCCGCCTCGCGTAGATCCTCCAAGTCGTTCGGGGAGGGAAGGCCGCAAAAGCCGCAGGAGGAGAACAATGAGTATCTCTGTGCGAAATCGTGCGACTTGGAGAAGGAGCTCAATCATTGGAAAGCTCAGTATCATATACTCAAGATCAAATACGACGAGACGGAACGAAAGACCGCCGTCCCGGATGACGCGTCGAAATCATTGGAGATCAACAATATGGTAACGTTCGTTATCCATTTCTTTGCCTGTACGTTTTTACCTGTACACTTTACAGGTCGGCAAGCTGAGCGCACCTTTCGCATTGCCCGAAGAGATTGGGGCTCGCGAATTGAAGATCAGAGACTATTTCCTAGAGGAGATTGAAAAGTTGATCAACGAGAGATACATGTGTCACATCAAGAATTTGGCCATGGCCGCTAATGTAACGAGGGATCATTTTATTTACGGTGTATTCATCGGTATGTGCATACATACGTCCTACCTTTTCAGAGCGAAGTTATGCACGTTCAGTTGGAGGCGAGTGAATCGAACCGAGAGAAATGCGAAGCGGCACTGCTGGAATCGCTTTCAAATTGCACTAGCGTACAAAAGGAGAAGGAAACGCAAGAGGGAAATTACAAGTCGCAACTCAACACCATGAGCGAACATCTCGCCAATATGAACGAGAAGCTCATCTGCCAAACGGAGGAGATACAACAACTGAAATTTGAACTAGCCAACAAGGTAAAAAAAGAAAAAAAAAGAAAAAAAACATCTTTCCAAGGTGTATCTGATCGAGTTTCTTTTTCAGAATAGTAAAAAGGGAAAGCAAAAGTGATCCGTATAGAGAGCGCGTTTTCTTCGACATTCCATCAAGGTGACACGATTTAACGTCGTCGACATACAATTTTATGTACATACGTACAACTCATACCTGCAGTCGAGCGGTGATTTACACACGTATCTTTGGCTCGCACGCTCTCTAACTCGATGTTACATTATTTATGCAATCAAACTTTCTCGAGCGTTCTCTTTTTACGAACGCTTATGTTATTTCGAGATTTATAACTCTCCATTGTGTTACACAGTGGCGCAACGATTATTTCTATTTGCTCACACTTGGTTACTGCGACAAACCAGTGCTACAGTATAAATTGTACAATCTTTGAATTTATTTTAACAACGATAATAAGGTATTGTGTAAAGGTTTTTGGTATCACCATCGTAGGACAGTCGTTCATAGTTTGGTCGAGATGTAAACCTACAAACGCAAATTGTAAATTATTCTCTATTGTATTAAGAAACACACGAGAAATATGTACAGCTACTGTTTTGCAGTGGGTGTTGTGATAAAAAAGGAAAAAAAAACTCAATGTAAAAATATTTGCCAAAGCAACTATTGCTTTGTGTTTTAATATTATAAATAAAATTAATTATAATTAATCTCTTGAGAACCTATATTACAAATCCAATTTATTGCTCAACTTACTACAATTAGATACATACGATATTATTCCAATTTAATGGCGAAGCTGGCACCGCAACTGCATCCTTGTTCAGCTAAAGGATTGTTTGTTATTCTAAAGGCGGATCGTATCAATTCCGTGTGAAACTCTATCGTCGATCCTTTTACATATTCCAATGACGTCGAGTCTATGATCACTTTCGTGCCGTTCTTCCGAAATACTCTATAAAGCAGGTAGCAAAGTTTGCATTTTAACCACGCCAGATCCTATGCTTTGCACTTACCTGTCGTCTTCGTGTATATTTGAATCTAGATCAAACTTGTATTGAAATCCAGAGCAACCGCCACCCTCCACAGTAACCCTCAGACCCGCATCATCGTTCGCGATCTCCTTCAAACGCTTCACGCAACTGTCGCTGATAATCAGAGCGTCCTTTGATTTGACAGCAGCATCTCTTGACAGTCTGCGGGATGATGTAACCATGGATATATTGTGCCATGGTGAACTATGAATACATGAGGAATTCTTTAGCGGCGATATGTTTTACATTGGTTACGACAATGATAAAACGGCACCGAAATTTACTCACGTCAACAACCGAGAGAAATAGCGATTCGCAGCGAAGTTCGAAGAGAGATCCCACACGGCATGGCTCAACTTCGCCATGTTTTCAATCAGCTGACGGAGCGCCACCGACGCATTGCGCTCGTTGATTTTCGCGCTAAGCACGGAAAAGATTATTTCGGTCGACACGATTCTATTCTGACACTTTTTCGCCGAGGAAATTTCTCAGCGATTAATCACGTACGAAGATTACGTACGTTATTACAAAACGTCACATACGACCGTGGGGCGGGGGGGGGGGAGAGGGGGG